AATGAATTTCCAAACGTCCTGAGACAGACATTTAAAACCATGTGGGACAACACCTACGGACATCGCCCTGGCTTCCAGCTCTGGGATGATTCCCCTGCCGTGAGAAATTTGTTTTCCGCTACAGAAGGTGGCAGAACCAAAGTTCCTGTCCTTCGATCGTATCGCGAATGGGATTGCACTGCTTTGTTTCAGGCCACTATCTATTCGCGAGCGTTCGCCGTACATCACGGAACGCTAAATGACGTGTATGTTAAGCCCCGTGGACTATCACATGGTCATTTTCATCCGTCCGTAGTAAGCACGACAGGAAACAATGCGGAAACCTGTGCTCTAGCGATTGATCAGTTACGCCTTCTGAGAAATTCCGTTTGCCACTCAGCAAGTTCTGAGATGACAAAAGTAACTTTTGACCAGTACGTGAAACACGCCAAAGACGCATTCCAAGCGCTGGGTGTCTCGACGGCTCCAATTGATGCTGTTGGTAGTTTATTAGAGTCAGACTTTCCCACAAGTAAAGTCCGCAGCCTTGAGCAGGCTATCAATGAAGAGTATAAATCGTACATAAAATTTCTTGAGGGTGTGAATTCAGACATTGCAGAGTTGAAGAAGAAACTGGAAAGCGATATCGCTAGCAAAGAAGACGTCGCCATGTTAGCACGAAAAATAGATGAACTCAAAGTTATGCAAGACGTCAGTGATAACAAAGAAGACATTAGTACGTCGGCGCGGAAAGAAGGTGAGTTAAAAAGCTACTGTAGAAAAAAGGTGCAACTTCATTAACAAAGCTTATCAAGCTAATCTGCCCAGTTGATAATATAACTGGAATCCTGAGCAAAGTATTTTCACCACCTCCAAACCCTAAATATGATTGTATTGGACTTGGAAGAAATCCACCTCTTATCGGCTCTTGCCAAGACAGGACAGTAATTTACAGGCTTTCCCTGGATATAAAGTGCAGGGAGGGGCTTAATGGAGGTCGGAGTAATAGATCGCGAGTCATTCGTTTGAGATTCCCCCCGGGGATTCTCAGCGGTAAATATATAAAAAAAATAATGATTTGGAAGTTGCACATCCACAAAGTGGTTCTTCGTCTACCTGATTCCTGGTCGAATTGGAACTTAGAAATGTTGGTTTTTCAGGAGAGGAGAAAACCAGGGTAACCGGAAAAAAACCTCTCGGAACTAAGAAAAGAACCGACAACAATAACAACCCACATATGGCGTCGACGCCGGGATTTGAACCCGGGGCACATTGGTGGGAGGCGAGCGCTCTCACCACTGCGCCATCCCTTGCTTTCCAGTAGCTTTTGTCCACTGCTGATAATTACTTTGCACACCGAGTTAGGGGCTATATCTGCGCTTTACATAGTCAATTTGGATTCGCCATAATTTCGTCCTCAGTAAGAATAATACTTCCTGTTATGCCTCCCTGACATTGTCGATACACTGGCAGTTCCATAAAAGTTGAAAAATCTCAAAACAGAAGTGAAGCGCGGTATTCGATCCCAAACTCAGTACCAGGAAGTCCCGTCACTCCAGGGGACGGTTTCTCGAAAGTAATTTGCCGTTCGCCACTTCTCCATGATCATCACATTGCTACTCACATCAAATGACAAAACTAAAAAACATGTTCTAATTACCCACATCAAATATCCGATATTCAGTTGCTTTTTTCTCTTTTAAGATATCCCAATATCCCTACCGGCATCAAATTTAAAGGCTAGCAAGCGTCTTGAAGAGAATCAATCTTGTGAAGCTGAAAACCATTATAAACTCGGAATCAAGAAACGTATGAATCACGATTTCCAATCAGCTCATCAAGATCATCAGTGTGCGCTTGACACACGTGCTAAACTGCCTGGAGAAGAACACCAAAGTAATGCTGAGTGTTATCGCTCGCTGGGGGTAACACAGAATAAAGTAGGTGATTTCAAAGCAGCTCTGCAGTCAAAAAAGCGTGCCCTGGACATACGTATTAAACTGTTTGGAGAAGAACACCAAAGTACTGCTGAGTATTACCACTCGCTGGGGGTAACACAGCATGAAGTAGGTGATTTCAAAGCAGCTGTGCAGTCAAAACAGCGTGCGCTGGACATACGTATTAAACTGTTTGAAGAAGAAAACCAAAGTACTGCTGAGTATTACCACTCGCTGGGGGTAACACAGCATGAACTATGTGATTTCAAAGCAGCCCTGCAGTCAAAACAGCGTGCCCTGGACATACGTATTCAACTGTTTGGAGAAGAACACCAAAGTACTGCTGAGTATTACCGCTCGCTGGGGGTAACACAGAATAAAGTAGGTGATTTGAAAGCAGCTCTGCAGTCAAAACAGCGTGCCCTGGACATACGTATTAAACTGTTTGGAGAAGAACACCAAAGTACTGCTGAGTATTACCGCTCGCTGGGGGTAACACAGAATAAAGTAGGTGATTTGAAAGCAGCTGTGCAGTCAAAACAGCGTGCCCTGGACATACGTATTAAACTGTTTGGAGAAGAACACCAAAGTACTGCTGAGTATTACCACTCGCTGGGGGTAACACAGCATGAACTAGGTGATTTCAAAGCAGCTGTGCAGTCAAAACAGCGTGCCCTGGACATACGTATTCAACTGTTTGGAGAAGAACACCAAAGTACTGCTGAGTATTACCACTCGCTGGGGGTAACACAGCATGAACTAGGTGATTTCAAAGCAGCTGTGCAGTCAAAACAGCGTGCCCTGGACATACGTATTCAACTGTTTGGAGAAGAACACCAAAGTACTGCTGAGTATTACCACTCGCTGGGGGTAACACAGCATGAACTAGGTGATTTCAAAGCAGCTGTGCAGTCAAAACAGCGTGCCCTGGACATACGTATTAAACTGTTTGGAGAAGAACACCAAAGTACTGCTGAGTATTACCACTCGCTGGGGGTAACACAGCATGAACTAGGTGATTTCAAAGCAGCTGTGCAGTCAAAACAGCGTGCGGTGGACATACGTATTAAACTGTTTGGAGAAGAAAACCAAAGTACTGCTGAGTATTACCACTCGCTGGGGGTAACACAGCATAAACTAGGTGATTTCAAAGCAGCTCTGCAGTCAAAACAGCGTGCCCTGGACATATGTATTCAACTGTTTGGAGAAGAACACCAAAGTACTGCTGAGTATTACCACTCGCTGGGGGTAACACAGCATGAACTAGGTGATTTCAAAGCAGCTGTGCAGTCAAAACAGCGTGCGGTGGACATACGTATTAAACTGTTTGGAGAAGAAAACCAAAGTACTGCTGAGTATTACCACTCGCTGGGGGTAACACAGCATAAACTAGGTGATTTCAAAGCAGCTCTGCAGTCAAAACAACGTGCGCTGGACATATGTATTCAACTGTTTGGAGAAGAACACCAAAGTGCTGCTGAGTATTACCACTCGCTGGGGGTAACACAGCATGAACTAGGTGATTTCAAAGCAGCTCTGCAGTCAAAACAGCGTGCCCTGGACATACGTATTAAACTGTTTGGAGAAGAACACCAAAGTGCTGCTGAGTATTACCGCTCGCTGGGGGTAACACAGAATAAAGTAGGTGATTTGAAAGCAGCTCTGCAGTCAAAACAGCGTGCCCTGGACATACGTATTAAACTGTTTGGAGAAGAACACCAAAGTACTGCTGAGTATTACCACTCGCTGGGGGTAACACAGCATGAAGTAGGTGATTTCAAAGCAGCTCTCCAGTCAAAACAGCGTGCGAGGGACATACGTAAGTACTGCTGACTGTTACTACTCACTGGGGATAAAAAGCATGAACAAAAGCAGCTGATTTCAAAGCAGCTCTTCAATCTTACCAGCGTGCCCTGGACATACACATTAAACTGTATGGAGAAGAACACCAAAGTACCGCTGACTGTTACTACTTACTGGCGATAACACAGCATTACCTAGGCGATTTTAAGTGAAGCTCGTCAATCTTTCAATCTTACCAGCGTGCGCTGGACAGACGTATTAAACTGTTTGGAGAAGAACACCAAAGTATTGCTGACTGTTATCGCTCACTGGGAAAAGCACAACACGAACTAGATGATCACAAGGCAGCTGCTCAGTCACCAGAGCGTTGGTAGGACATACGTAATAAACTGCGCGGAGAAGAACACCATGAATACTGCCTGGATGCTACTATACAAACTTGGAATTACAGAACATAAGCTAGGGATCAGATAGGGAAATTCAGTGAAGCGCTTCAGTCGAAAATGCGCCTTGCACTGGATAAACAGATGATGGTAGGACAGGAACACAAAAATACTGCTGACTTTTTTTTAAATTTAGTACACACGGCATTAAATACAACATTAATAACAAGATTTGGAAACGCTTGCTACGCAGGCTATTATGAAGCCAAAGCAGTAGAGTTTTGATCAATACTTAGCAGTCTAACCACACGCATTCGTCTCGTGGTTCCACTTGATATTTGAAGACTTTGACGTCATACCATGTTGGTCGATAAGAGAATATATAGACCATGGTATCAGTTGTTGACGATTTGTGTGATAGAATTTAGATTTTTTGTGGCAAGTTGACGTCAACTTGATATCTTTAGTTTGTTCTAGTTTGTTTTAAAACATATGTAGGCTCAGTCTTTCAGTCGAGATGGGTATTTATCCGTGTGGGAACTAAATCAATTATATGAAAATCATTTACGATATGATCAGTTTCATCATAATGTGTGGCGCTGGAAGAGCAATGAAACAAGTTTTCATGCATTTACTGCTTGCATTTTACACCTTCGCGATGTTATTTCTAAACATGACGTAAATCATTAAGGATTTTCAAAAGTCACTTTATTAATTTCCCGTCTACCCTCAATGGGGTACTCAACAAAGTTTATCGACGCTTTATCTGAGAAAGGCTGCACCCCGAGGTCCCATTCTTCTAGCTTTCTTTTTTGCCATTATTGATAGTAAGGTACCCCTTCCGTAGACCTTCTAATGACAAATTGTACCCCGTCACACTCGAGCACCTGATATAAGTAATGATCGCTAAACCAGGAAGTCCTCTTTTATTTTACAGCCGCATAAGATGCATCTGTACGAAATATTTAAATACCTAAATGATAGAGTTTCCCCACTCTTTCCCAGACCCCGTAGACCGCGAGTAGTCTCTCTTTTTCTTTAGGGGAGGGGAGTGCACTCGCGCGCGAGCGTCAAGCGCCTTCAGTCACGCGGGTGGTCGTTTGCGTGTCTTGCACGTTTGGCTCGACGGACTAAGAAAAAAGAGAGACTGCTCGTAGTCTACAGACCCCTTTATACACCTAAAGCCTGAAAAGCGTACCCCTTTTGAGTGGAGCAGAACGGTGGACAGGGAGATTATTAAATAGAGTCTAGAAAATTCATTCATTCGCTGCGAGCAATATAGCGAAGGGCTATAGCATACATTCTGGGGACTATAATATCATAAAATTCTGCAAATTAGCAACTAAACAAAGAGTTTACAGGGATACAAATAACTGGTCCAGCAAATATGTTTATTTGATTTTTAATAACTGAAAACTACCCGTGCAAGAGACTGAATGAGGTACTTATAAAAACGAAACTAATAACATTAAACTATAATAATAGCGAAGAGAGATTTTCTTAATCCTGTCATAATGATATTTAGAATAAAACGAAGATTCAATTCACAGGATAGAAAAAACTTCTTACTTAGTTATTACTGACTTACTTATATAACCTATACTGTTAATGTAGCCCCCCAGGGACATGTTCTCTCTGGAGTGAGTTGCTTTGAATCCAAACTTTGCTTTGTGATAGAAGTAACACATACAACTGCTTAAAAATTTAACAAATGTCTCATAAATGATGTGGTTCAATGAAATTCTTGGTTGAAACTTTCCTTTGTGTCAGACACATTATCATACAAGCTACGGGTACTACAGTCCGAAAAAGATGAGTGTCAAAATGTACTCCAATGAATACCTTAACCTTTCACTTATAATTCCCGGGCTTATACACGTGGTAAGGGGCTTTAGGAGGGCTAATAAACTGGGGAGCTTATATAAGGACTAAACAAAAAAGTTTCAAAACAAGCAACATAACAGTGCTTATCAAAATACTGGCTGAATTTACTCGCCTTTTTATTTAAGCTTCAAAACGTCGTAAAAATCGAATTCATTTCAATACAAGCCAGATGGGGGCTTACTTTCGGGGAGTGGGGAGGGGGGTATAACCGCATGTCCTTTTTTGTTTCCAGGTTGATGAGCCTATTATCGTCTATAACTGGCTGGCAGGGCTGAGAAGGGAGGAGCTTAAAAGTGGAAGATTACGGTATATGACTAGACTTTGTTTTTATTGTTAATTGATGTCTAAAGGCCGATTTACACGGTATAACAGGTTTTGCACTTTTCAACGCACCAACTGACTTCTCGTCGGAAAAGGTCAATGAGGTATGGCTTCTCATCAAAATATATGGCATCTGCTTTGATGAACAGTGAAATTGCCATTGATTAGTATTAGCGTAAGCCTTAACAGTAGCACCACTATTGACAACGCGCAAAAAAGGTCAACTTTTTTGCTTACCACTTCAGATGTGCTATGATCTCCTTAATCGCAAATAAATTCTGCGCATCAGAACTCAAATAATGATTTGCATTTTTGCTCAAGAAAATGCTGGCATACACGTAGCAGTTTTATAGTTTGTTTATCCCCCTTTGAAATAAATGTCCAAGGTNTGGCATCTGCTTTGATGAACAGTGAAATTGCCATTGATTAGTATTAGCGTAAGCCTTAACAGTAGCACTACTATTGACAACGCGCAAAAAAGGTCAACTTTTTTGCTTACCACTTCAGATGTGCTATGATCTCCTTAATCGCAAATAAATTCTGCGCATCAGAACTCAAATAATGATTTGCATTTTTGCTCAAGAAAATGCTGGCATACACGTAGCAGTTTTATAGTTTGTTTATCCCCCTTTGAAATAAATGTCCAAGGTGAACTTTCCGTTTTATTCGAACTGAGTAGATCAGTGCCTGGGAAACTGCCCACCTACCCCTGCCCTAAGCCAACATGTTGCCCTAAATGAGAAGTAAGTGATAGGAAGGGGTAGGTGGGCAGTTTCAGTTAACAGTTTCCCATAAACGTATATATCGATCCACAAATATGATATAATTTTGTTTCGCTCTTTTTCTCTAGAACTGTCAGAACGCAGAACAATAATTTTTGAGAGATTTATTTAATTTTCGTCCGCAAAAACTAACTTGTCCTCCTGGTTGTTATTGGCGAGTACCGTATTATAAACAGTGTTTTTGAGATTGATAACCACGACTGTTTAACGCAGACTTATTATTTTCGGTCTTAGATGTGCTTCAATTGTAGCGTTGATCCCCCAGTCAGAGTAAAAGTGTTCCCTAACGGTGAGTTCTGTTGTTTTACCTTTTCTTTCAGCATTTTCATGAACGCGCTCGGAGCAATACTGTCTAATTATAACATCTCTGTCATGTTTTTGTTTCAGCCTCTCGGTCAGCTTCAGGTCATCTGGAATGGGCTGATCCTTCCCAGGCCCTTAACGCCCTCGCGGCCTGTAATCATTACGTCATCCGTGATGCAGGTATCACTGTTGTTTTATGTTGCCAGGCGATTCAGGCGCACGCACATACGCACCTACGGTTTCACGTACGCTTTTCGATCTCTTTATCGAAGCATATCGTTTAAAGAAATGAAAGAATTATTTTCCACCGGGACTGTGGTAACTGGCCGCCAAGTGAAGGGCAGTCACTTGTTAACTGATCTATTCACAGCGATAAGGAGTTAATGGATGACATTAAAAGGGCTCTTTCTTGTAGGCTTGGCAAAATCTAAATATTTCGTGACTTTGTGATGGGTTTTTGATGTTACGGTTAGGCCTTCAGTTTATTGCCAGGAGCGCGCGTATGAAAACAAAATCCGCGTGGAATTTATAAGAGAGCTTTAGATTCTAAGACGAGTACGACTACGACTAGGAGATTTTTTCAATACTAAGTAGCGCACGCGCGTGAACCAGCGTCATTTGGGCGGGAAAACGTGGTAGCCGTCGTCATTCTACGACGAGTTTTAGCGAGAATGTCGTGGTGGCGAAAAAAAGTTATCAAATGTTAGAAGTTTTATCATTTTGCGATCGGGAGAGGTTGTAACCGGAAACCCCCTTCATTAAATGCTAACTTGTCTAGTGAAAAATGGTAAAATGAAGCTTTCCGTGGAGTCTATATTTTAAGAATTCCGCGAAAAAACTTTAAGTCAAATCTCGAACTCGTAGTGGTCCTCATCCTGGAATCTAAAGGTCTCTATTGACTACCAGCGCCCGTGGGCTCCTAAATAATAGTTTTTTTCTACTTTTATGGTCGATTACGCTGCCCATGATAGGTAATTACCTTAGCAAATATCGACGTTCTAGTCCTAGCAGTATACAGGATGTTTGTCACATGAACTTAGTTTAGTGGCTTTAGGTCCCACGAGTCTCTTGTAGCTCAGTGGTGCAGCATGTGGGCCAGAAACCAGAAGGTCATGGGTTCGACTCGTGCTGGGGAGTATTTTTCCAAGCGTCCTATGTCATTGACTATACAAACATCTCTTCTTATGTGAGGGTCCCTAATAGGTTTAACGGGATCCGGGATTTCCCTTATTTGAAGCTCGGGATTCAGGATTTTAAGGCAAAATCGGGTAAGATTCGGGATTGAAAGTATGCGTGCGAGTTAAAATGCCCGAAGTTTCCCTTGGGATTACGGGATTGCACGAAATTGTGGTTCGGG